TGTTGCTGTAGTACTACTTCGGTTGTGTACCGCGAGCACTAATCATAAGCCTCACCATCAGAGTACTGGTATGATTGCCCCGCAAACACGAAATTGAAGTTCCGAACGACGAAGTCGATTTTCCTAAAGGAACGAAATTGAAGTTCCAAAGGTGTACTCGACGAAGTTGAAAGTTCTATGACGAACTCGAAGGTTCGAGAGTCGAAATTGAAAGTTCTATTAGAACGAATTTGAACTTCCTATCGACTTCGGACGAACTTGAATGTTCTATGACGAAGTTGAAAGTTCTAATTGCGAATATGATCTTCCCGTTTCGGATTCGTCCCTCCAACTTCGCGCGTCCCGACGAAATTGATGGTTCCAAAGACGAACTAGATGTTTAAAAGGTGTAGAAAGATTTTTTTGACACATTCATCAGCCTGTGGGGGAAAAATCTAGTTATGGGGAACCCTAAGAGGTGTGGCCCTCAGAAGGATACTTCGGGACTCACATAATCACATAATCAACTGTGGGCCCGAAAGGCAGAACGTCTGATGGAACCATCCCCTACTAGCCACCTTTCACAGAGGATGGAGGCTGCGTGTCGCCCTTCACGTGTTCGGCAAGATTGCTAGCCGGAAAATATTTCTCGCCAGAGCGCTCCCAACGTGAACAAGTAGATATTTTTGGCGCTCTCGTAGCCATCTTGGCTCAAGTGTTATTCTCGTTTAACTCCACATAGCCACAGTGCTCAACTTGGATCGACGTGACGAGAAGCCTGAGAGAGATCGCACTTCTTTGGTGGCGATTTCCAAGAGAAAAGGCTTGTCGACCGTGGCGGAAGATTGGACATCTGCTAGAGTCATTGGCGGAGCCGGAAATGATATCTGGTTGAGAGTTAGCGTTCACGTTATGATTAAAAACCCAGATCGTACAGCTTCTGATGGAACTCACGGCTACCTGGTCATGCGCTATGGTAACCGTTGTGGTTTCACCCGCCAAGCGAGCAAAGCGGAGCTAATACAATCTGTGGCTAAGATAGTCGATCAAGTGGTCTGTACTGAGTGCAGCCTAGGATTCTATCCGCTCTGGATTATTATATTTCGTAATCTGCTATTGGGCATGTTAGTGCATGCGGACCAACCGAATCCCGACAATGGGGTCTGGAGCGAGAGAAGTTGCAGTAACATCATCATGATGTCATCATGCAGCCAATGTCTCGTACGAATGCGTTGGCTAGTTTTGAGCTGAATGGAGCCCAAGCGGTGAATGTTAAAGTTATCTATATTGAACTATCCCGCACTGAGTTTGAGGCGCACAGGGTAGCTCTATGGTGGTTGACGAGCGGGAGAGGCCCAGTCACTAGGGCTGTTCCGTTTTTGATCGAGAGCCTGAGGATATTATGATCGTACCGCTGATTACAGTGGGGGAACTTCCTAGAGGCGCTCTTCCAGCTGAGTACGCTGAAGCAGGTTGGACTGCCATGAGAGGCAACGCTATAGTGGATTGCCTTCCGTCGAATGATAAACTGCTGCAGCGCGTTTCGTTTCTGCCTACTCGCTTTGCGGGAGTTGACGCCATGATTGCCAGGGCTGAGCTAGTGTTCGGCGAACACTGTTCGCGAATACCTTCTCTTTTCCTTGGAGAGGCAATGACGCTACTAATAATGCTAACCCTCTCGTTAATAACTCAAGATACTCTACATGATTTGCCAGAGAAAGGCCAGTTTCGCTCCGCTGAGATACTGAGTTTTTGGTCATTTTCAATTTTAGAAGGCAAATCCTGAAATGTTTAAACCTATTCGTTATCTCTAGTAGGTGCTTTGACCAACCTAGTCTCCTGAATATGCCTTACAAGCGTGGCCGATTCGTTGTATAATGGTACAACTTGGTGGAAAATTGGAAGCTTCCAAGAAGATATGTAGTTTCCCACATCTACGAGGAAGAAGGCGGACGGATTTATAATGACACGAAAGAAACGAGCAGGGAGGGAGTGGGACAAGTCCCTGCCTCGGGCCTTCGTCTTTATTATAAGAACGACGTGAAGAAGAGGATGCTGGCAGTGGAGTGAATGATAATAATATTATCACACCGTGTGATAATATTATTATCACTTACAATTTCAGCTTGTTTATTTTAATTTTATGGTTCTTTTCAGTAATTGCCGAAACGCCAAAGTGTTGGTACAACAATAACCACAACAATAAGAACAACCACTAGTCGCGCCGCCAGCGCGATTTTAAATGGCGCAGGACCGACCATGGCCAGAACGGTGGACTCAATGAGAGCTTACTACTGGCTCTGGCTGGCTACAATAGTACACTGCTACTGGATGCGGTCTGAAGTGGTGAGTTCATGCTCAAGTATTGTCTTATGTAATATAAGAACTTGAAGGAGTGGATGCTGGCACTGCCAGCCTGGCAGTGTTATGGAACGGCTCCCAAAAGAACGACAAGAAACGAATCGTTTCAAACGATGGAATTCTTGTAAAAACTCAATAACACTGTTATAGGACCAAACAGGAAATGGAACGACATTCGCCAAATACCGTTCGCCTTGTTCACTGAATTCTTGATTTCTAGCAATCTTGCAGTTTCCTTGCTTCGGGGCCCGAAGTTCGGGCGGGCGACATTGCCACAGTGCCTGAGCTGTGCTAGCTATTTGCGTTTGTGTGCGGTTACCGGTTGGGCTTCGTGTTACTTCCTGATAAATGTCTGAGTCGTTGCTCTGTGCATACTATTGACAACTCCTGCTAGTTTCAATAGCTGCGTTCGTTACCATGTCTACTGCCAAGTCAGTGCAAAAACTTAAATCGTCAGTGGACAAGGAGGAATTTGAGGAATACGGTAGTACAGGGGGTGCTAGTAAAAACTTAGGTGAGTTCTTCTACTCTAGTCGTACTAGTTTGTACTAAGTTTTTATTGAATAATTTACTATGGTTCGGCAGGGTTTCTTACTAGTACTGTACTAGTAGTACAGTACTAGTAAAATGTCATAAAGTTATGTACTAGTAGTACATAACTTTATGACATTTTACCGGTGGGGCTTTTTTAAATGTTTTACATTTGTGTCGTTCTTTTGTGCTATGATGAGCAACTAGTACCTGTGTCAAATGGTATACGTGCAGTCTTTGCATTATCTGTGCTTCTCTGTCTACGCGGTATATATGTTATCTAATTCGTTAATTGCTTAGGGCAGTACAACTTTGTCGTTAATTGGCATTATCTGCCTGAGACATGCCTTGCTGTGTACGTTAAATATTTTCATGTAAAGACAGTAATATCATGCAACGATGTCATGGTATGGCAGTATATGCCTCAGACATATGTTTGCTGTGTACTGTGTACATCCCAATGTCGATGTATGTATGTTTAGATTTCTGTAGTACGTCTTGCATTGGCAGTATATGCCTATGACGTACTTCGTTCTTTCTATCATCTCTGGTGTTTTTTGTACACGCTACATTTTGTCACAAATTGGCATTATCTGCCTGAGACATAGCTTTCTTTGTACGTTTTTTATATACATGAACACATAGCTTTATCACACAAGTATGTCATAAAATGGCAATATATGCTTCAGACATAAGTTTCTTGTGTACTTTTCCAGTTTAATGTCTATGCATATAGTAATATTATAGTACTATGTCGTAAACTGGCAGTATATGCCTGTGACATACTTCTTTTTATGGAGTACTTTTACACAAGTGTTCTTAACTTGTAGTCTGTATGTTTTATGCAGACTGTGGCTCCGTGCGTATATGATGTTTAAACGATGAAGATCGAAGCGTGCGTCGTATTTCAAGGGTAATTTTTGCCTATTTTAAAGAAACCATTTAAAGCCTTAGGTGTTTCATTTCTGGGAATAATCAATGTTTTGACTATAATGCTTATGCGTTTTACGAAGGTTCGTCAAGTAGCGTCGGTAAGAGGGGATTATCCGAGCCCAACAGAAGACCTAAGTTATCAAGTACTATGGTCCGTTTATGATTTGCATATTACTGTTCTTTGTAGAAACCTGGAAAAAAGTTTTTCGGGTAGTGGAACAAATAAAGAAACGACAAAAAAGGGTTCAGAAGTTTTATAAACGTAAAGTTACTCCTCTATGTACTACATGGGTCCTGCAACTTATGTTATTCTATTTTGATCTATGTTAATACATGTTGCTAGGTCGTCAAAAAGCACGTGAAAAATATCTTAAACTTCGTCGACGAATTATAGGCCCTAAGACTACAGGTAGTTTAAAATGTTCAATGGACGTTGCCTCACGACGTATGGTCATATAATGCAGATCCCAACAAGGTAGGTCATTCAAATACAGAAATCCCGGACATACAGGGTAAAGGTTCTACTACGGGTGAGTATTCGTTGTTTAGGTTTTATGCCCTTTTTTATGTTCTTTTTTTGTTGTTGTTAGATACAAAGTCAATGTTCGATGTTGATTATTGTTTCCGTAACGTCGTGGATGATTCGCAAGCTCACAGCAGTGAATCTAGTTTGCCTGTGGACGAAGCTAATCGTTTAGATGAGCGTAAGGTGGTTTGCAGCCTTTGTTATCTACCTCGTTTTTTGGTTATTTTACAGAGATACTTCAACTTGCGTGTTCACAAGATAATACCGGTCCTATGACTGTCAACACCTTCGCGCGTACATCAAACAAGTGTAGGGCAAGTGAAAGTTCTAAATACAAGTGTACAACTCATGATGCAACTGATGGTAATACTGCACCACTGTGACTGTTCTACGACCATGTTTTTTAGACAATGACCTTAGTTCTGTTGGACAGGAAAGCACCACTCACCACGAACTTTTGCGTAGTAATTTCTAGTATAATACTTCTATTTCTATGTGTCTTTCGTTGTAGACGATGCTGCTTCGGCTTCTTCTGCAAAGCAGAACGTGCGTTCACCTACGAAATCTAACTGTACTATATCTATGTTTAAAATTTAAACTTTAAATTGGACTGAGTTGTATAGTTTTGTAGGTGTTGATGATATTGGTAAGCAGAATACTACGAAGTCTTCAAAAGGTATTTTATTTTCTCTCGTATGTTTTTCTTACTCTTATTTTGTTTAGATTTTCGTTCTACACCTACTATTGTAAGAGCCTTTACTGCTACGTTGTTGCCTTCTACCGATGGGTCTATGAGGAGTGTCACGAGTAATATTGGATCGTGCATTGTTATACACGTATTAGTTTTCTCATATACGTTTCGGTTATCGTTTCGATTTACGTTCTTTTACTCGTTTGTGGTATCTGAAATTTACATCACTTCTTTCAGGTGACAATAGTTATTCTGTTCAATCCGATCGTAATAAACAGAGGTATACACTCAGTCCACATGACAAGTCTTCTACATCGAGTTCAGTAAGCTGTACGTTTACACAAGAAGACAGCTCAAGTTCGGGGAATATTATACACGGTAACTGTTGATAATTACTTCGAACGTGTATCTGTAAGGGTGTTTATTCACTTTATTCTTTTTTGTCATTGACTCGCATCATATGCCCTAGAGATACTAAGCAGACGAAGTTTTACATACATGCTAAAGACGTATTTATTTATTTTTAGATGGCAATAGTTCCGACCAAAACTGCGACGACGATGGGAATATACGCCGTACCTCTTTACGTACAAATAATATTATTTTGGCAATCGACGATTGATTGTTAGGTCTTAGAAATATGAGGCGTAAAAGAAATGTGGAAGAGACATCTGGTAGGTTTATTCGTTATCATGCATTACCTAATATTTATTTTCTAACAGCTGGCAAAGTTGATAACTGCTCTGAACACAGGACTACTATATCCAAGCACGTTGGTGTGAACTGTTTAATTATATTCAGGTTTACCCGTAGAGAACAACAATGAGGTTAATATTTCTACGCCTAACGTAAACGATGACATGACAAGAGCCAATTTTCCTGCTCGTCGCATTTCTCGACGTAGGTAAAGGTGGTCGTTTTGCGGCACGTTCTTTTTAGGTCTACAAAATATTCGATTACGGAAATGTGTACAAAATCAAACGTTACCTCAAGGTAACCTCGTTTTCATATTGTATAATGTTTACGAAATAAGGTTGTAAATCGTTCGTCGATATATGTTTTCTTCCCTGTTCTACTAAAGGGAGTTCAAATGCAGTTTTGCGCTTGAGCAAAGCTTAGGATTCTATTTTTTAAATATTCCTCACGTAATGTTTGTTTAAATTGTTCCGTTAGTTGTTTTTTTGGCAGAAACAGAATGCACATTATACTACGGCACACTTCTTCATTAACTGGCATATATGCCTACGGAAGGATTGTGTCATCTATTGTCCATACGTGTTATTAGTAATAACACGTAATTAGTAATAACTTATTACTAATTTAAAATTAAATATAAATTTGCACTAGTCATTCGTGGTTTTACTTATTCCTAAGCAAAAACTGGGCTAAGTGTCAAGGCGTAGGTAATTTCTATAACATCAATTTCCGTTTTATATCTACAACTATTAGAATTTTTTCCTAATTTTCAACAAAGCGCTTTTTATTTGTGATACTCTGTTTAGATATACATGTACATGACAAAAATGATGGTCGTCAATTGAAGCGGAAATTGGACAACGATGTGTCGTCAGATGCTGTGCCAAATCGCCGAGTTTCTCAACGTATGCAATTACTAGCTTCTTTCTATATTACTTGTTAGGGTTACAAAACATTCGTCAACAGGAGACAGAAAAATATCAAATGTTACCTCAAGGTAAGAGAGTAGAACAACGTTTTTGCTTAAAATCATTTTTGACTCTTCTTCTAGTAATTTGTTCATATGCGTTTTTCAGATGCACGTAATGCAGACTTTGTGCCGTCTATGCCCTCACATTTGCCACCATCGTCTGACAATGACGAAGATTCGTCAGAAGCTACTTCGAACCAGCACAACGACACAACTACTTCTTCTCCGTCGATTGGTAAAATTCCGTGTTTGATGTTCTTTATATTACTACAGATACCTTGTTAAAACGAGGTAAAGATTTTTTACTGCGTTTATCTACTACGACGTTGTCTAAATCTGGTAATCCGCATTCTGTACACTACGTACTAAATTATGTAATTAGAATCCAAGTTGTTTGCAACTCTTTCACCGGAAGAACAAGCTGCACTACAACAACTCGCGACTAAGGGTTTTGAGAAGCCTCATGAGGATGAGATCGCATCTTGTTCTGATAGTGCGACAGACACTTCGTCTGAGATAGAAGAACCCGTGTTGGAAGGAGACCTCAATACAGCTCGCAAGGTTGTTTATGGTATTTTTTCCTATCCGTACCATGTAATATATTTGCTGCTAGGTAATTCAGGGAGTCGTAAGATGTTGAGTGGGCTACAAACAGCAGAGATGCACGATTTTCTTCATCATATTTATGGTATCGGTGATATCTGTGACGAATTACTGGACGTGGACATGACTCAATTACCTCCTCCGTCTAAACCAGGTGCGCTACGTTGATATTATTTTACACAATGCTTTTTCTCACTAGGTGCGTACAAAGAAAGTAAAACAACGCTTAAACGCAGTAAAAAGGAGTCATCCTTAGGTAACGAGTCGTTGATGTTTTCTTCTTTATGTTTTTATTTTTGTCTTCTTCTTAAGCTCTCGTAAAGCCCAAGAAGTACAAAGAACCTGCTCAAAAAGATTATCCAAAACGATTTCCGCATGAGAAAAATATGAAAAAAGGTGGTACTTTTCAAGAACGACGTCGTATCTTCGAGATGAATCACTTACAAAGTACGTTTATTTCATATTTTGTTTCATACTTTGTAGTTACGGTTTTCTAGGTCACGCAGACGAATATCTCTGTAGCCATGCCACTATGGAGGCAGTTATTAAAGATGTCGATCGTGAGTTATTTGGTCAAGGTGCTCATCGTTGGACACAAGAGGCTATTTGGGTTTTGCAGATAGCTGCGGAAAAGTATCTGGAACGTGTGTTTCAAACATCATCGTTTATGCTACATTGTTTTGATTGCGATACATTGACTCCACCTGTGTATTTACTTGCAACCTATTTTTTGGGTGACGAAAAGGTTAGCAGTTTACTTCGTTATCGTACTTTCGACTTATTGGGCTATAACGTCAGCTTTCCTTCTACTGTAGCTAATCGTGCTCAGTACGAAGCTCAAGGATTACAAGCAGCAGAATATATGTACTTAGGAGAGAATAATTACAGGTCGCACCAATCTTTGGGAATTCAAGCTAAGAGGAAATCACCTACTAAAAGACGGCTTGTTAAATTACGAGATAAGTAAGAACACCAGTGTGATATACAGTTGTACTTAATTTTGAGGGTTAACTCGGAAGCAGAAAGTAAAGATAGTTCTACAAGTTCGCTTTGAACGTATGTTGATGCTTGTGCATCGACCGTGTTATTTACTTTCTTCTGTCTTTAATCTTTGGCTGTCGTCTAATAAATCACCGATGCGCTAAAGTAATAGACTACGTCGTGTGTTAGCAAGATATGCTTAAGATGTATTTATCCGAAGACATTGAATAAAGTTATCGTTCTTCGATCTGTACTATATGTTACATCAGTCGTTGGCAGTATATGTCGAAGATGTACATTTCGGTGCGATTTCTCGATTGTCGTCTAATAAATTACCAATGCGCTACGAGTAGTACATCGTTTGTTGGCAGTATATGTCCAAGATGTGTTCCTGCCTAGACATTGAAGTGAAGTTATCGTTCTTCGTTGTCTACTGGACGTTACATCTCTTGTTGGCAATATATGTCCACGATGTACGTTCCGGTAGGAGTTAATCGAAGTAGTCAATTCTGCACTCATGGTCAAATTTTACATCATAAGCTGGCAACATATGTCCAAGATGTAAAGCGACCTATAGTCAACTCCTTATTTATGGATTTACTGTAACCACCTATATTGTGTTCAGTAATATGGAGGTTTGGGTGGTTGCCACCGGTTTATCAAACCCGTGGCGCTTCTAAACTTTATCTCCTGTATACAACATCCTAGTTATAACGCCAGGTCAACCACGAAGGTCAATAAACTAGGGTGTTGCGAAACCACTCAAATGGAGATAATCTAGAAGCCCTCCATAAAACTTGAAGAGAAAAAAGAAAAAAAATAAAACATTATAGTTGAGTTTCCAGGAACACCACGAGGAGGTCTCTGAGCTCGTTCCCATCTAACAGTAAATCTCAATACATTCGTCCTTGAACTAGCCCCATAAATGGACCTTCATTTCAGTAATAGTCCATATCCTCCTTCTTCGAGTTATATGCTATTTCCTTATCAGTAGATGTTCTTGATGAAATACATTTTCTATCTTGAACCTAAGTATCTTATACTTTGCTCTGATTCTATAGTACATCGTTAGTTGGCTGTGTGTGCCCGAGATGTACTATTGGCTACGTCAGAAGAAACCTTTCTTATCCTATGTTGTCTATCTTAGAAATGTGTAGTGTTTGCCAAGCATGTTTCTTATATATAAATTTACATGTATAATGCAAAGCGGCAAATATTCAATTTCTAAAACGTAGAGGCAACTTGTTAAGAATTTTTACGAGAATTTTATTTCGAGATTGTAGGTTACTTTTGTATGAGTAACTGTAAGTTACCTTCTACGTCAGCTCGGCAAAAATCTTTGTCTTACGTTTCTCCTGCTTGTGCTCCTCCTGCAGCTCAGACTAGTCAAGAGCCCAGAGGACATCAGCGAAAAAGAAGGTCATCGGGTTTATGTTTAACGAAAAACAAGCAGAACTCTGCACAACAGAGAGATACTACGGATGTAAAGAAGGTACATTTTGACACAATTAATCTGTGTCCAATACAAGCTCTTCAAAGTCAAGTACCTTTCATATCGATACTGTCTGAGAGCACAAGACAGGCTCTGGCTTCAAGTAATACTTTACCGTTTTGTTTTTTTATTTTAGTTCTCAGAAAATCAAGCGATTGATGACATCCAGAGGTTTATCGGTCCTAGTATGCGCTATTTCAAATATACAAGAAACCAGAGAGACTGTTATCCCGTAGAAGGAGAGGCTTGGCCCGGTACTGTTTTGAACGTTGCGTCTTTTACGAAACTTTTTTCTTCCGAAACTTCGTCCTACTCCTGAGGGATGTTAAGAATAATACTTTGTGCTTGGAAGGTAGAACATATGCTCGTCATTGTCTGCGTAGCTTTTTTGCAGATCTGTACGCATGGATTAAACTAGATTCGGTGATGCAAGAGTGTGTTTTATTGTTGAGCTCTTTGGTGGATTCCTGTACATTAGTGAATCAAAATATAATCCAATGATGCAAAACTGGTATTCCGTCGTTATATCAGCCGTTGAAGTTGTATACCTACGATCAAGTTGCCGACATGTTTGTTCATTGGGTGCAATGTAAAAAGACGTTTGTCATTTTCTGCTGACGTGTTTTCAGGTGTTTTTCAAAGAATACCGTTCGTCGAAAGAATGTTTTTCCAGCCTCCATTGGTCGACTTTATACGCAGATGTACTAAATGGTCGTATATGAGGTATATAATTGCTACAACTTCAAATTGAAGTCTTCAATTATAAATCCGGTTGAAAGTTTACTTTCGAGGTCTACAGCGGAGACTAAGTTGTCAACGATTGAGTCGGTAAGTTTACATCGATCATACACTGTCAGTCACTGACAGTGTATGAGCCTCATAGGTGAGGTGGGCACCCGGCGATTTTCTAGTCGCCCGGCCCGGCCCGGCCCGGCAGCCTTTGAGCCCGCTTCCCCGGCCCGGCCCCGGTGACCCGGCAGTCTTTTCTTACCCATGTTCCGGGTTTAGCGGGCCCGCCGGGTTGGCCGGGTAACCCGGCCCGGATTGCCAGGATCTTATCGTCGTATGGTTCCGAAAGCCTTCCTGCCAGGATCGCTTTCGGACATGATCGATGATAAGAACTTCTTATCAAGAAGATCCAAGATCAGGGCTGCATGGATCAAGCAATATCCCGATGTGCCAAGTCACGCGATTGAAACGCGAAGTGCGAGTTAATTTCCAGCAATCGCGGCGATTCCTGGAAACTAACGCGAAATTCCGCGCTACGTACAATTAAAAGCACTATTATTGGCTTGAGATATCTGCGCTGCGGGGCTTCCGGGTGACCCGAGGACAGTTGCGGGTCATTTTTCGCCTGCTCACCCGCATGAACCCGGCAACATCGCCGGGGAAGCTGGGTTTGTGACTTTGACCCGGCCCGGCCCGGCTCGTTCCGGGGCCGGGCCGGGGCGAATCGGGTCGGCGGGGCCGGGCAAGGGTGCCCTGCCCATGTAGTATGATTCATACTTCCTATATTTCTGTTGTAGCTTCCAAATGCGGATCAAGCAGTGAGAAATATGTACATAACAAGTTCTCCTCATATCAATAAAATATGTACAAAGAAAGGCGGCAAGGTAATATGCTTTGTATATAATATAATTACTTATTGATTCATATTCACATTTTACACTTCTGTTGTATACGAGACATTTGTATAGTTCGGTTGTTTGTCACAGGCCTTCGCTTTAGTTACCTCGAACATCTACTGTCAAAATTGATGAATATCGTAAAAGTAAGGAGGACATGAAAACCAGACTACTTTAAAGGAAATTAATAAAGCTAAGGTTGGTTTTTGTCTTGTTTTGTATAACATAATGTCCAGATCAATTTGAACAAAATGTACAATATTTACCGACGGAGGTCTACTCTTAATGTGCAACCCAGGTAAATCTTTTTTTGTCTTACAATTAGTCTCGTTGTTAGATTCAAAAGTAACAATAAATGCCATCTTAAGAAAAAAACAACGCCTATGAAGTGACTTTGGTAATACAGGTTGTCATAAAATGACAGTAGATGCTCCTGACACATGTTTATTGGGGACATATGCTTATTGGGCAATTGTGATAATACAGTGTCTATGTATATAGGATCTATGTATACAGTAATATTATAATAGTATGTCGTACTTTGGCAGGATATGCCTGTGACATACCAGCGTCTGCGCATTATCTGTAGTTTTATTTATACGCGCTATATATGTTATCTAAGTTAATTGCTTAGTGCACTAAAAGCTTGTCATTAATTGGCATTATCTGCCTGAGACATACTTTGCTGTGTACATCTTTTTTCATGTATAGATATTAATATCACACAACGATGTCATGATATGGCAGTATATGCCGCAGACATATGTTCCCTGTGTACTTTTTTTATTTCAATGTCATAGTATATAGTAATAGTACTGTAATACGTTTGAAATTGGCAGTGTAATACACTGAGTGTATGCCTATGTGCCAATTTACGAACTCGGCGTGATGTAGGCAGACGGAATTTGGGTTCCGAGAGATGGAGAAAAGACCATAGAGTCCTTAGCGTGACGTACGGGACTCATAGACGAGTGCGTCACGTCACGAAAGGACGAGCGAAAGTGAGAGAAAGAACGAGATGAGACGATGGTGTCTGATGGACAAAGGATGGGGCTTGGAGAGACAGACGAACTATCGTAGTTCGGCACATTCTCCCGCCAGCGGAAAAATAAAATTGAGCTCGCGACCGATGGTCGCAGATAAATGAAGACTACTGCGTTGGTATGAGCCTCATACTATGAGGTTATGGAGAGGCTGGAGTAATTCTTTACCCGTTGAGCGCTCCCTTAACCTAAAAGTGTGGCCAGTGGCCTCCAGCACGACGTAGGGGCCACGAGCTAAAGAACCAAGCTTCGACGGCGAAGGGGTCTTCAAGTAAACACAGTCACCCACAGATACTGACTGACCGGAGGGTCCCAATTTTGCGCGTGTCCTCTCGCGTGTATCCTCCCAAAAAGTCTCGCGCCAAGTTAGGAGTATGTCGGCCGCAAGAGGAGAGGCTACCCCGGTCTGATCATGCCGATAGGTGTGGCAGAGATCCCAGGGAGAGATGTCGTGCCAGGTAAGCCTGGTATTGCTCAGAGATACAGCCTCAGCCACCAGGGTTCTCCAATCTAACTTCTCACCTCTGGATCGCAAGATGCGGATATGGTGATTGAGGGGGCCATGGCTCCGTTCCCACTTACCTCCGTAGCGCGGGCTCGAAGGAGGAGCAAATCTTTGGCGAATGTTGCGTTTGATGAGGAAGGCTCGGAAAGCAGCGCTCACATAAGACGACCCTCGGTCGCTGTGGACCGTGTTCGGTTGGCCAGTCCGGGCGAATATACGCCGAGCAGCAGTTATCAGATTCATTGAGTTGGTAGTACCGACGACCTCAGCATCTATAGCACCGGTTAGCAAGTCGGTGGCAACAAGCAGAAATTTGGCTCTGTCGCCGTTTTCCTCGTAGGGACCTGTGTGGTCAACGCCAATGGAGCGCCAGGGGATGCCATCCACCTTCTTGATACCTGCGGCCTGCTTCAGAGTAGCACGATGTTTATTTTTGATGCAGATCCCACATGACTTGACATGCGGCTGATACTACGACGGACCCCAGGCCAGTGATAGAGCTAACAACCTGCTTATAGGTACCTGTGACGCCGGG